AGCACATTTTATCTAAAAGGATTGATAGTTTTTATTTATTTATTTTTTACAACTTTTTTATGTTTTTATTTTTTTTATTTTTTTGAGAGAGAGAGAGAGAGAGACAGAGCATGAGAGGGGAGGGGCAGAGAGAGAGGGAGACAGAATCTGAAGCAGGCTCCAGGCTCTGAGCTGTCAGCACAGAGTCCAATGTGGGGCCTGAACCCACAAACTGTGAGATCATGACCAGAGCCAAAGTCGGAGGTTTGGCCAACTGAGCCACCCAGGTGCCCTGGATTGATAGCTTTTAAATTGTTGCATCTTCCATAGCATCATTTATATATATTTAAAAGAGAATTTAGCAGGGAAGGCAGGTCAGGAGTTCCCTCCCATGTGTCTCATGCCCCATGATACTAAGGATGTCGCCTGCCTGTGAAGGTAGGAAGAGAGTGGTGACTTAGGGGCTTTGCTTCACATCAGCATCCTGCATGGTGTTATGGGAACATGCTGGCTGCTCTGTGCAATCGCCCCAGGACAATAGCAAATTGTTACTGAACACACAGATCAATCTGCAAGGGATTGAGAAGAGAATCACAGAGCTAGTCAAGTTTCAAGTTGATGACTCTTCTATTTTATAATCGTGACATGAAGAGGTGAACAGTTACGTATCCAGTCAGGTACATAGCAGGCATATTTTCTTTAGCAACTTTACAGTTTCTCTTCTCTTTTCTTTGCACCCTACCCTCTATATGTGAATGTTCTTTGTCAAACCTTTTGACCTCACTGATCCTCAAATATGAAGAGAGGGGCAGTCATTTCTCTTATGAAGATGTTTTTATCTTCTACAGGAACATGGAAAATTAAAGACCCATGAATTTAGATGATCAGATCAGCTTCAACTTTAGGAGACTGGAGGATATTTATTTTAAAGACTCTCAACTAAAACTTCACATCAGAGTGTGAAATCAACAATATATATTAAGGCTTAAAGTTATGGTTTTATTTCTGAAGTATGCATGTGTGCAAGTTCATATGTATGAATATTGACTTAACACATCAACATCAATACAAGAGGCAAATTCCCCAGAAAATTATAAACTCTTTCCTCACTACTACTGATCTTTCCATTTACTTTCCACTCACATTGCTCCTCTCAGTCTGTGTTGTTAGTGACTGAATAAAGAGAGTCAAGGGAATAATATATCAAGTTGTGGGTAAAACCATACATTATTATCTAAAGTAATTTTGTACTCTGGTGTTTAAAAGTTTTTGCATGCAAATTATTTAATGTTTCTTTCTTTCCTTCTTTAGAGGGCAAGCATGTGAGAGCATGGGTGAGTGTGGGATGGGCAGAGCGAGAGAGATGGAGAGAGAGAATCCTAAGCAGGTTCCATGCTGTCAGTGCAGAGCTGAGCATAGGGTTGGAACTCACCGATTATAAGATCATGACCTGAGCTGAGATCAAGAATCAGAGACTTAACTTACTGAGCCACCCAGGTGTCCCTGTATTCAATTTAAAAACTGATTAATGGTGGGGCCCCTGGGTGGCTTAGTAGGTTGACCGTCTGACCGTGGCTCAGGTCTTGATCTCACAGTTTGTGGGTTCGAGCCCTGCATCAGGCTCTGTGCTGACAGCTCAAAAGCCTGGAGCCTGCCTAAGAGTCTGTGTCTCTCTCTCTCTCTGCCCCTTACCTGCTCCTGTTCTCTCTCTCTCTCTCCTCTCTCTCTCAAAAATAAATAAACATTAAAAATTAAAATAAAAAAAACCCTGATTAATGGTGAAGAGATGAAGCTTAGGTTCTTTGCTGTCATTGGCATTTAAACATTAAAATCTGTCTGAACATCATTTCATAAAAGATTTGAAACAGTAAAGACTTGGATACTTAGCTTTGATTTTTCCTGCCTGGAGAAAATGCTTATTAGAATGTGATTGGCCATCTATATTTCTCTTCTGTTCAGTTAGATTTAGGTTGCCGTATTATTGTTATTTTTAACTTTAACAAAATAATTTAGTGGCCAGCCTTGTCACAAAGCCTCTGAATCCTCACCTGATGCAACACAATGTATCTGGG